TGGCCACCCCAGCTAAACCTGCAAACATATATGCTGAAAAGCCCAGCTGTATGTATGTATTTAGTGTAATGTGGAATGCGGTAAGTAACTTCTCTCTAAAACCTTAGATACCTTGGCGAAGAGTGTTACAGAGAACCCAGAAAACAAGTGTCATTGTGATGCTGGTAATCCTGGTGTTTTGCACTTAGCAATGATTATGGCATTGCACTCTTAGTTCCTAAAGAGAGTGCTATAAGGCACACTCTCAAGAATCGGTGGTTTTTAATATTTTGTGGAAAGAAAGAGACACACCATATTTTTATAATTTTGTAGGGTAGCTTTATTAATGAGCTTATAACCATGCCTGTATTTTGGTGTCATTAAGACTTGCAATTTTGGGTGGTTGCATAAAGCCTGAACTACTGGAATCATGAGATTTCATGAAAATCTATTCTTTCAGCCTTTCAGAAGAGACTGTTTCTCCTGACACGTGAGCAAGCAGAAAGAACAACTTGGAGGAAGCTACTCTGCGTGGTAAAGAACTGAGTTCAGGCAGGGAACTGCTTCCCCAGGGACTTTTGGGCTAGTGCATAAAGTGATATTTGCATGCATGGATAAAAGCAGTAACAAATTAAATCTCAGTACCCCGCTGCTAGCAATTAGACCAGCTGCTTAGGTTCCCTACCTCAGTGGTCTCAACCCAAAAGCTGAGGGAAGCAGAGGATGTATATAAAGGTTAATCTCTATTGGCTGCTACTACTGTTAATAAAGAAGACCCTTAGGGTGCTTTCTTGCACACACTGAGAGAGATTTAGGCTCTATATCTCACCGTAAGAATGCCTCTTTTACTCTGCTGACTATGAAAGAAACTCGTAGGAGAGCCTCAACACAGGCCTGAGGCTAATTTCTGCAAAGGAAAATGCAGACCAAAATATCTGCATCTTAGAGCAGCTGATCTCACCTATGTCTTTCAGCAACCTACAGGTCACATTTTTGTACACGCAGAAAGCAGATGATAAAACATGCATGGTGGAATTTGATGTCAAGCCCTGCCTGACTCCCCTCCCACTGGCAGGAGTTTCTCCTGGCAGGGAAAGGGAGCCAAGCCCTGCAAGAGTGACGCTCTTTAGCCAACACCCTTGGTGGCATAAAAATGCCAGTAAAGGGGGCGTGGCTTTCTTTTCGATCTCATCTTCAGATGAGGGCAGGCAGCTCACTCTGAACAGCAGCCTGACCAGAGGGAATCATAGAACGGTTTGGGTTGGAAGGAACCTGCCAACGGGCAGGGATGCCACTCACTAGATCAGATTCCTCAGGACCTCATCCAGCCTGGCCTTGAACACTTTCAGGGATGGGGCATCCACAACTTTTCTGGACAAACTGTGCCAGTGTTTCACCACCCTCTGAGTAAAGAATTTTTTCCTAACATCTAATCTAAACATATCCTCTTTCAGTTTAATACTATTGCCCCTTGACCTATCACTATCTGCTTGTATAAAAAGTCCCTCTCCCTTCTTTTCATAAGCCCTCTTGAGGTACTGGAGGGCCACAATGAGGTCTCCCCTAAGCTTTCCCTTCTCCAGTTTGACCAATCCCAGCTCTCTCAGCCTGTCTTCATAGAAGAAGCGCTCACAGGGAAGGGTCACAGGAGGATTGAAATCTCATTGTGTCTTGGCAAAGGATTGTCTGGGATTTTCAAAGAAATCTCTAACAGAAGAAAGGACTTTTGAGAAAACCGAAATTTTCTGCTTGTGTTTTAAAAAGCTGACAATGTCCAGGGTAGGTCTGCTACACAGTGTCTCCATATTGCTCTTGGTTATGAATCTGAGGGCTTCCTGGCCTCTAAAAGACTGCATATGTCAGTGTCAGTATATCCATTAGGATGCGGTCCCAGCTACCGAATGGCCTTGGCACTGTGATGGTCCTTTGCGACTGCTGGTTCAGTCGAGTTTCATCTAACAGACTGGGAACAAGCTGTTCTGTCTGGACCTAGTGACTGCATTGTTCTTGCTTATGGTTAAAAACCTCTTCTCCAAAATTCTGTGTGTCGGTCATGAGCCACAACATACTTGAAAGAAGCGGTCTTTACTGCTTGTTTGCAAGGGGCCAAAGAAATCTGTTCACATTAATTGATTCCATCTTATTACTGAAGGGTGTTTTGGGACATCTCATTCCTCCCAAATCCATCCTAATGGAGCTAATGCCTCCTCTGCATTAGCTACTTCTGATGTGGGAGGCTGTAAGGGGCTGGCTGTGGAGCACTGCCATCTACATATGGTTGGCTGTCACTATCCAGTTTCCAACACACTTGCTCCAAGCCTGTCTCATTTATCACAGCATCTCCACCATCCCTCTTGTCAGAGGGCTGGAGCACCCAAGAGAAAGAGGGAGGACAGTCAACTGAAAGCTGCATCACAGGAGTCTTGGCAGCAGGAGGAAAGGGGAACAGCAGAGGGGTGTTGGCTGGTGCGACACTGGGATGGAAATAAATAGTATGCACGCCTTGGGCGAGTTTATAGTGCTCCTGGGGTGACAGCCTCTGCCTTGGCAAGGGTGTGGCTGATGTCTAACACCAACTCATTGCTCTGACAGGACTGTAGGCACCATCCAATATTCTTCCTCTGAAACTCTCTTGAGGTTTCAATAATTAACCCTAAACTTCCTAGAGACCCTTCCATGCACCTGGGGTTTGACTCAGTCAACCCAGTACCCAGCTGTACCTGGGTTTTAGTTTCAGGTGGGGGAGGGATGCGGTTGTGCTTTGGGCAATCCAGACCTTATACATGGACCGTTTCTTCTCTACTTGTAGCTGCTCCATGGCTGGACATTAACTCTCCGAGTTAGTCTCCCTGCCTCTTATTAGCCTTTAGAGAAGGCTCAGTCGGTCTGTGCTGCCCTCTCATGGGCACATATAGGAAAGGTTACGTTTCACTCTTTTTTTTTTTGTTTGTTTCAAGATGCTTTTTAACCTGCTATTCAAGAGACGTCTTTTCATATGTGATTTCTGAAAAGCCACTGAGGCTTAGAACAACTTCTAAGAGGTGTATGAAATGTAGCTACAAAATGTAGTTCTGTCTAGAGTTATGCTGGACCCTGCTTAACTCTTATCTTTCTAAAGGGCTTTTCTCTTCATTTGGAAACATTTAGATGTCTAACAGTGCAAAATGTAGGCAGTTGTTGCTCCCAACAATAGGCTGAGTTACCAAACATGTATCGGCATCATGGCACCATAAAACAGTCAAGGAGTCTCTCAAGATATCTCTGTTACTTTACCAAGGATTCAAACCACAGGGCCAAAAGCTGGGTTGTCCAGTGGGCAATACTTGTTTTCATACTGTGGGGTTTCAGCAAACCGTCAATGCTGCCCTCCCCTGAATCTCCTTGCAAGGAGGCAGGATATTATGCTAGACCCAAGGGGATACTTAAACAATAGCTCGATAGAGCCAGCATCGCTCTGCTCCTCAAAGGGGTTGTGATGTTTGTTCACGGTGTTTATGTAACTTTGAGCCACTGTTAAAAATCTTTGGGTCTCTGACCATTTGCCTGAATGTAATATAGCCTTCTCTCTAACGTCAACTCACCTGTCCAAGCACCAAAAGCTCCTCAGGGTGGAAACTGTTTTTCTTCAAGAGCTGCTATGACATGCATTTTTCTCATTAACAAACTACTGTGCTATTACACATGCCTGTATACACCTCTGTTTCCTGTTTTATGCGAGAAGGAAAGCTGGGGGACAGGAAGGAGGAAGGACAGAGGTCATCTCTTTTTCTTACAAACTCCCTAACCCTAATACAGATCCTTCCTCCTAGTTAATAATAAGGATTTTTAAGGTTGGACCTGGTGATTCCAAGTAAGGCATTTGTCTTAAAGGCTTGCAAGTTTAGAGTGAAATTTTCATGGCCAGTATAAATTGAGAGTTGCACTCCCTCAGCTACAATGCCTTCCTTTTTCGATAGCCGTGCACCTTTGTAAGTCCAGCTCTGTGTAGTTCCATATTCCTCCACCTCTTGCCACTTTAATGAATGAATGCAAAAGATGCTTATTTTTGGTCTCAAAGCAACAATGTAAAAAAGTAAGTGAGTCCATCTCATAGCTCATTTCTTCCATGGTATCATTTCACTGCAGTTTATGAAAGGACACCAGCGGTTTCTCTTGTTTTCTACACTGGAAGATAGAAAGTTTACCCCAGGCTCCTGGATGAATAAGCCAATGAGATGCCCTTCCAAGTGCCTGAGAGCAGCAAGGTCTGACAAAGGAGGGTGAGCTCTTCCCCCCTGTGAGAGGAGCTGGGGAACTGATATGGTAGCCTTGAGGGAGAAAGGAAGAGCCATTCTCCTAATTCATACCAGGTGTTTCTAAAACAGATCAACTACTGCAATGTCTGCAGTCAGTTTCCAGTGTTGAATTATGTATATAGAAATCTCTTGAATCTGCTTCGCCTAAATTCATCTGTTTTGCAGTGACACTCCAGCCCACCACCTTTCCCCAGGAGAAGATGGAGCGTGAGTGTTCATCCAATCCATGTCACCCCAACATCTCAAAGTTCTCCTTTTCATTTCTGTATGTTGAGCTATGGCCATGAACTTTTGGTGATGCTGTTACATCAGTTCTGTCCATGAGGACAGTCCCCAAAAAAGGAATGCAGCCATGGATATTAATGCCTGACCTTCAGGGAATGTTTCTTCATTTTTTTCTCCATTTCCTCTGGCTGAAAGAATGGTCAAGAGCAGCTTTCCCTTGAATACAAGCCAAAGGCATGTCAGACAGGGTTTGATCAATTTGTCCTGGTATTCCCTTCCAAGCTCTTCCACATTCTCCAGTCTTCAGCTGGAGGTCTCTCTTGAGCTCTTTGTCGGACTTTACCCAGAGGCCAATTTCTTCCACTTCAGACATGAAAGCCCTGAATAGTTGTTTCTACCTACTTTGAGTTTCACATGATTGTGAAACTTTGAAATCAATGGCATTAAACTAGCTTGAAGTCGGTGTTATGTAGCAATGATTCACATCCAATGAGTCACAATGAAATGTCTCATGCTATAAGCAGCTGGCCATTGAAAAATGTGCCCTCCACCTAACTAAGAAGCAGAGCAGAGTCTGTGTGGACTTTTCAAAGTATCTTTAATCAGCTGTTGCAACACTGGGTGTTTTTTGCATTGGTTAGAAGCAGTACACAGGCAACTTCAGTATTGCTTGGGGCATCTGAGTAGTTTTAACTTCCATACAGAGATGGCAGAAAAAGAAACTGATGTTTTCATCCAAGAGACCTATTTCACAGTGAATATACTTTCCTTCTGATTGCTCCTCTGCATCCTGCTTCTGAAGGAGTACAAGGTTCACAACAGAAACACTCTGTGGGCCATAAGATCATGCCATTTGGCAGATGAATGGGATGTCATGCTTCTGTGGTTGTCCATGGATAAGCAAAAAAAAAAAAACATCTGTTCCTTCAAAATAATGTACTTTCTTGGTGTCCAGCTCACATTGAGGAGTAATCATCCTTGGGAACTACAAATTACCTCCAACTTCCACACCTTTCACTCCATGACCTATCCTTATCCATTAGAAGCACAAGGCAACACAGGTGTGGGTAAAAAAACCACAAACCACCCTTTTTAAAAGAATGTACTTCAGTGCACAGACATCTCCCTTGTGAAGAGGAAAAAGAGCAAACAACAGATGTTAGTCACGTTGCTTAGCACACTCTGGAGGGCATTCAAATATACTGTGACTAGTGTGCTATAAGGACTTATATGGAATAGTTTCAGTCACACACAATGAACTGCTAATTCCTTCAGAGCACTCAAGGCAAGAAATTTAAAGACAGTTTAGTGTCATGTTGATAAATGTCCACTTATGAAGAAGAAATAAGGATCTAATGGTTTGAGAAAAAATTATGGAAAAGGGGCAGTCACTGGAGTTAAAATTACAGTAAAATTTCCATTTTAAATCTAACTTGCCTCCTTTTCTTCATCACAGGAAAGCCTTCTTATACACAAACAGCAGTGCTTTACCATAAAGTAGAATTTTTCTAGAACTAAAGTGTATTTTTCAGAAGAACTCTGAAGCAAATCAGAAAGCACAGCTGTGTGACACTATAATCTTACACACACAATAATCTGCCAACATTCTGGAGGATGCTTTTTTGTTTTCATAAAATTAAGTTCCTGGGCTTCTTTTTGCTTGAAAAACTGCAATTCAAAATACAATCCAATCATCTGAGATGTTCGAGGTGAAGGAAGTGTCATTTCTCCCCAGCTCATGATGTGTTCCCCAAGATTTCTGGTCAAAGCCCTTGCTCAGAGCTGATCAACCCCCTTTTAAGCTGGCGAAAGCTGAAGGACTGGCCTCAGCCCACTGTCTTCCCTAGTCTCTTGCCATCTACACATGACAAATCTAGGCCCAAAGAGCTGTCCTGAGTACTGCCTCATTCATTTTTATACAACTGCTGCTCCCCAAAGGAGAGTGACCTCTCCTCTGAGGAGAGAAATGAACAGAAAACACTGTTTCTGTTTCACTTTTCTGAGAAACAGAAAAGACAGATGCTCTCTCTTATGTGCAATGGGAAGACTTCTTGCTACCACACAGCAATTTTGCTGGCATGAGATAAGGTATCCAGGCCACCAAAGCAAAATTTTGGCCCTGAGATTGCTGAGGAACACTGGGTAGGGCCTCTCTTGCAAAATTTCTGTCATCTGTAAGAAGACTGCTTTCCAGGTCACTTCAACCTACCTGAAAGAGGGATTAAGGATCTTTCCTTGCATAACTCCCTTAATGATGACATGAAGTTGAAGGCATACACTTATAGTCTGAGAACATATTACAAGTCAAAAGCTTCTCGTAAGTAAAACAGAACAACAAACACAATACACAAATGACAGAAGCAGGAAATGCACAGTTAAGGCTATACCCAAAGGAATCCTAATCCTGTTCTACGATGTAATTCAAAGACATGCTAATTTCTCCATCTTCTGGGACAACATGATGACAAATGACCATAGAGATGAGAAGGCTTCAGCCACTATTTTCATCTTCCATACGTTTCTTGTTTCACAGAGATACATTAGGACAGGGCATATATACATAGGGCTGCTTACAAACTGTTGATCAAAAATGTATCAGGCTGAAAAACAACCTCAGTGTCTGATTCTTCCAGTTGCCAAAGATAAGTAGGGATTTGAAAAGCATCTCACCACTTCAGTGGGACCTAGATGCCTAAGTCTACATTTAGCTTCTTATAAAACCAGCCAAGATTGAATCTGAACCTTAAGCCACCCCTAGACTCAAAATAACCTTAAGAATCTCCCTGCTCTAAGAATGATAGGGCTGTTTACCTACCTGGAAACACATGAGTTAACTGATTTTTTTTTAGAACCTTAGATAAAAAGGAAACTCTTCTCAGATATGGAATTTGTATGCCAAATACTTGTCTCTGTTATTCCCAGACTTTTTGGGCCCAAGCTGTGCTGCAGAGAATCACACAACCTAATCATCAGACTTTTAGCTAAAAATAGATAGATGAAGTTTCTATGGCGTTCTCTTCATAGCCATAGAGACAGTCATTTGGGAATACACTGCCATCCATCAGGAAATTAGAGCACTTGCCTAAAAAAGAGAAAAGTCTAGTGACAAAAAACCCCCACTATCTGGCATCTACTGCACATACACAGTACATGAAGCCAAAACAATAGTATGGTCTGTTGCACATTTTCAATAATCTTTAGGCAAGATACAGAAAAACAAAAAGACATCCTTATCAGGGTGGAAACAGACACTTGGATAGTACGAAAATGAGAATTGTGTTTTAAGTATCAAAGGCAGCCTAAATGACGTGTTTGCGAAATGTACCTCGACTGTGATGAATTTCCTGAGCTACCAGTCCTTGGTTTTGGTTTGCTTAGTTTTATTCACCTCCCACATTCCTGGGTGATAATGTTTTCTGAAGCCAGTAAGGGTGTGTGCAACTGTTACTTTACTGTTTTTGTTATCAAGATATACACTGTACTTGTCATGATACAAGTAGGGCAACACCAAAAAGCAGAGTGATTGGTACCTACCAACAGGGTTGATTAAGGGTGTGACAACTGCACCCAGTGTGTGGAAGAGGCAGAAGACAGCTTCTTGCATCAGAGGATCTCTGGGGCCAGTGGGAAAGCCCAGACCCAGCCTATCAAAGTATTAAGATGGGCACTGGCGTTGCTGCATAGCTGCACAGCTGTGAGCCACCAATGCAGCAGGAAAAAAGAGAGGGTTGCCGGTTGTCCAGGGCTGCTCTTAAATTCTACTTGCTTTTGTGCTTGTGTTGCCTGAGCTGTGGGGTTTCTTTGCACAGAAAAACAGAATCTAGGAGTGGCCTAAATATGGGACTTATGCATTTGTATGCACAGAACCCATTGGAGTTCAGCAGACCTGCCTCTTCAAGGTGTACCATACGTGCATGCAGGGTCCATGCACACCTAGATGTGAGTTTGTGATTCCAAACCAATCATGCTGATTTGCAGGATTGAAACCCAAGGGGAAGCAGAAGCATACTGAACAGGGCAACCATGAAAGAGAGATACAAGCAGACGTTTTCCAAGTTATTGCCAATGACTACAAAAGCATGATGCAATACCACAAGAGCAAGGTCAGTAGGGGCCAAAGGGAGTGCACAGGCCTCTTCTAGAAACACCTACACATCTTTGTTCTCCTCCGATATTCTCTCCATTTCTGCCTGCCTGGCATCTATCATAGACTGCACCTGGAGAAAGGAAAAGGAAAAGGGTCATTTGGGAGCTTATTTCCTCACACACTGGTGCCCAGAACTGACCTTACCATTCATCTGCAGGTTTTGCGTTCAGTACACCATGAACCCAGCAGCAAACCACAAAGATGGTGCATTTCCTGACTGACTAGAAGGCAACGAAGGAAAAGACTCTCTTTGTCTGCTTTCTTTTCTCTAACCTCCTCATTTTCCCAAGAAGCAACCCACACTTCTAACTCACTCCTAAACTATTGTCTCATTTGTCTGACTTTGAATTAGCTGTGTCTGAATACCCTGCAGGCTCAGCAGAGACAGCTCTCCTGAGCAGAGGTGTGCGGGCAAGAAAAGTGTTCCCTCCCAGTCTGGGATAGAGGGAGCTGGTGAAGGGTCACAGAGGGGCCCTATTCCTGTCCTTAAGCTTCCCTCATTTCTCAGGTAACCCCAGGGCATGTTCACTCCATCCTTCCCCCAAACACAACTCTTCACCCATACTCCCATACCTTCCCTCCCTCTCCTTCTGAAGCACACATGGTCCTTGCATTCCAGGCACTCTGCTCCTGCCCTGTGCTTTTCCTCCTTCCAAGTAAGACACACAGTGGGAGAAGCAGTCCTGGGTTGACCCTGATTTTAGTGTGCTCAGCAAAACTGGCTTTCTGTTGTGGCCCTAACAGGCAGTCCCCATTGGGCCCCAGCAAGACCATACCTCCATCAATATGAACTGCAAGGGGTCATCAGGCTTAGAGTACACCAGTTTTTCTGTGATCTCCTGAGACAGAGACAGACAGAAGGAAAGAATTATTGATCCGTAGGTAGGTGGGTGGCTGCACTTTCTGCTCCAAGACTATCTGCCTTTTAAAAAGCAAGCATCTCTTCCAAACCCCAAAGATGATCAATGGTCCTTTTCTACTGCTTTTCCTCTGTTTATGCTTAGGAAAGCACAGGACGAAAAGCTTGAACCAAATTATACTGGGGAAAGGATAATTTGGTTCAAGCTAACTTTAGGCCAAGCTTCTCATCTAAGCTTCTGGAAGGAGAAGGAAATATATATTTTACCTGAAATATCTGCAGAATATTATGTTTCTCCACGTAATCAATGGACACTTGATAGGCATTTTCAAATATCGTTGGCTCTGGTACTTCATACTCAGTCTCTGCTGCTGCTGATGCAGCCTCAGGTGTGTTACCATCCTGTGTGGAGTCAGACATGTATATCTTGACTTCAAAACTTGACAGTTCACCTAGAGATGATCTGATCTGAGGTGAGCTTTCCCTGGATATGGACTATTCAGTGAGCAGTAACTGGTCCTCAGAATCTGGTAGTTTCTCAATAACCAGCTTGTTTGCAGACACTGGCAATTCCACTACAGATGGCTGGTGTTTTAACCCCAGGTAAGTCATGCACTGGTGGTGGGGATTCAGTTATAGGTGTCTGGTCCTCAGATGATTCAGCAGCTGGCAGTATGCTAGATTCCTCCACTTTGGACTCTGAATGATTGTTGTGCTCTTGCTAAAATATTTAACAAATAAACAATGAAGAATATTTTAAATATGCATCTCCAGAGGTCAGATACATCACATTACGGCAACCTTCTGCAAATATGCTGCAACCCCTCTTAAGGCATGCATTTAATTTCTGTGACTGGCCCCACTTGCACCTTCTGCATGATCTCAGGAACTCCATTTAAAGCTCAGGCCCAAGCCATCAGAATTGGTCTGTGCCTGATCCTCACTTACTGACTAGTTTTCCTAGGGGCACTCTATAAGTCTATACTGTAGGTAGTTCTGTCTCTATGGAAGTCCCTTGGATGGATCCCAGACCCGACTCGTGACCTTTCCTTGGCTGGGGCTATCCGTGATCCCTCTCACCAGCAACCTGCCTGTGCTGGGGTTTCCCTCCGTTCCCGGCTCCTCTCCCTGCCCGGCACAGCCCCGGTCTCGCTCCCTGGCAGCAAGCAGCCGAAATTCGCGTGGCTTCACCGCTTCCCTCCTCGAGCAGCCGGCTCACAGCGGGCTGTGCTGCATCCACGCCCTGCTCTCCCATTCCCACACCCGTGACTGAGCGCAGGCAGAGTTCTGCCCGGTTTCCCCATCCCGCTCCAAACCCGCCCGGGGCAGGGGGCAGCAGCCACGGCTGCTCCGAGGTTTTGGGGGTTCCGGTGGCAGCAGCGCTGCCTGAAGCAGGAGCGGGGGCAAGGGCGAAGGGGGAGCAGGATCTGCGCCCATCCCTCTAATGGGAAGCGGGGTGCTGTGCCGGGGGACAAAAGATACGGGGCGCTCCGTGCGGAAGCTGCTCGGGGGCAGCGCGGGTCGGTGCATTCCGGGAAGGCGCTTCCCGGCGCCGGGGCTGCCCCTCACCTGCCCCCGGGGCTGCAGGGCAAGGCAGGGGCGCTTCGCGCCCCGCCCGCCCTTTTGCTGCTCGTCGCTCGCCGTAGGGGGGGGGGGCGGTGCGAGACGCCGGGGCGGTTGCCGGGGCAACCGCCGTCACGGTGTGGGCGGGCGGTGCCTCCGGGTCACGTGGGCGGCGAGTGCAGTGCGGCCATGTTGGGTCAGGGCGGAAGCGTCGGTGGGGGGGGGAAGATGGTTGTGGCGGGTGAGGGGATCCCAAAATCCCGGAATCAGTCAGGTTGGAAAAGACCTCTGAGAGCATCGAGTCCAACCTGTGACCGAACACCACCATGTCAACTGCACCCCGGCACTAAGTGCCACGTCTAGTCTTTTCTTAAACAGCTCCAGGGACAGTGACTCCACCACCTCTCTGGGCAGCCCATTGCAACGTCTAATCACCCCTTCTGTGAAGAACTTCGACCTAATGTCCAAACTGAACCTCCTCTGGTGCAGCTGGCATCCTCTCATCCTGTCACTAGCTGCCTGGAAGAAGAGGCTGATGCCCACTTGTATACAAACTTCTTTCAGGCATTTGTAGAGAGCGATGAGGTTCCCCCTGAGCATCCTTTTCTCCAGGCCAAACAACCCCAGTTCCCTCAGACACTCCTCATAGCACTTGCGCCCCAGACCCTTTCAGCTTTGTTGCCCCTTTCTGGGTTTGCTCCAGCACCAAAATGTCCTTCCTGTAGTGAGGGGCCCAGAACTGGACAGAGCACTCCAGGTGTGGCCTCACCAGTGCCGAGTACAGGGGGACAATCACTGCCCTAGCCCTGTTGGCCACACTGTTGCTGATCCAGGCCAGGATGCTGTTGTTGGCGGTGCCTGGCCCTGGTCCTGGCACTAATTCTGTTTCCTGGTCTTGGTTCTGCTTCTGGTCCAGGCAGCCACCCCCTTGCCTGTGTTATTATTGCCCTCGCAGCAGCCAGAGAGGTCTCTTGGTGTGTGCCACAGCCAGAGAGCTGTCTGGGGGGCCTCCCTTGGCACAGGGAAGGGCAGGGAGGTCACCCATAGCCCAGCCTGCCACTGGCCTTCTGTTTTGCAGTGAGCTGAGATACTTCCCTGAAAGTTCCAGTGTCCTTTTGGCATTCCCACACTCCTATGAGGGATGCAGGAAAGCCCAGCGAAGCCATTTGCTGCTGTTGGCCCTGTTAATAATTGCAATGATAGTGAGGAAGCCTGGAGGAAAAGGGCAGAGAAAAGCTATGCACGGAGGGGCAGATGGAAAAAGACATGTCAAATAGCTTGTAAAGGGAAGCAGGGAAGGAAGAGGTGGGGTAGTAGAGTGCCAAGAGAAATACTGACATGTGCATTCATGTGAAAGGTACTTTCTTCTCTCCTCAGTTTTACAGAGACACAGACAGTTGGTGTGCTGCATGATGAACTTCGTCAGAAAAAGCAAATAAACAGATTGCCAGTTTCCCCCAAAGAGGAGATGAAAGCAATAGAGATAAAAGCTGTGCTAGGTTACTACAGTAACCAGCTTCTGACATATTCTGGCTCATGCTCCAGTCTGACAAGAGCTGGGATTGAAACGAATGGATGAAACTGCCATGGGGGCTTATGTGGGGTGAGAGGGAGGGGAAATACAGGACTTCAAAAGCTGTTCTAAACATACAGATGTCACTTCCATTCAGAGCAGCTCAGTTTGTGTGTGTTTTTCAGGGTATGCCATTGAGCTTTTAAGACGAACAGCTGCCCCGCTGCTCCAGTACAGGCTCATGACAGTGCTGCCCATCTCCTCAGCCACGCTGACCACTCAGATCATCTTGCACTGGAGCACAGCTGTTTGCACTCTTGGGATGCCAGGTCATTTCTTGACTCTCCTGAGCCCATCTGGCCTCTCCCACTTTGCCATGTGACTGTGATGGTTCCAGACAGCAGGGGACTTCTGGCTCTTTGAGTGTGAAGGTTTTTTTGGTCTGTGTTCACTTGGGAAGATCTTGAAAGATGCTGAGTAAAATTGATAAAATCGTTGAAGGGTCTTAGGCAGTTGGGTGGGTGGACTTTCAGCGAGATTTCAGGATCTGACTCCTTCAATCTCCACTGATTATCCCATCCTCACATGATGGAAGAGGGTACAGCATGCTGTCTGGTGTTCCAGGTTGTCAGTCTTTGATTAGTGGACCCTGCTATATTTCCTCTGGGAGTTGTGCACCAATGGACCAGGCTTGTGTTCGCAGGTAGAATATTCACTGTTTAGTCTTATATACCCCTTATAAATACTCAGTTCTGCAGTGACCTGTGCAGATATAAACCCACATTTGCAACACTTGTAGCGGTGAAGACTCTTGTAGTTGTCAAGAAGATTTTGCTTGATGAAACTTAAGAAACTTAACTTGTCTAGAAACTTAAGACAGCAACATCCAGAAAGCATTGAGGTGTGAGTTAAGAGATCTTCCCTGCCCTCTAGCTGGGTGTTTCTGCATCTGTAATGCTCACAGAGCTTGTTTACTGGGGGTCTGAAAGGAAAGCTCTGAACAGTTACATCCCTGTCAGTCTCCATGGGGATGGTGTTTGCTCTGGTAACTGCAGTTACAGTTTTATGTGAAGGAGGCATTTTGATATTAGTCGTGTGTATGGGTAGTTGTGTGCTGAGACATCCGCGTGCTGTGTTCTCCACAGCATGACTCCCATGGGTTTCTCCTCTCTATCCTTTACTGGACGGGACTAAGCGGTTCTCAGCTGCCTGCTGGCTTCAAATAGTGTCCTGCTGTGGGTAAATCTAGAGCCCCATGTGTTCCTTTCATCTGTGCCTCATTGGTAAACAGCAGATCTCTCCATTTCCAACCCCACTGCCTACTGCAGGGTTCTGGCTGCTGGGACTGGAAAGCTAGGATTTTGCACAAGGAACTAAGATGAATGACTCTATTAAATAAACATCACTGCTCTGTTTATTCTTTCAAAAGAACAGATTACAAAAAGCAGAAGCTGCATTTTAAATGCATTAAAAATTCTGAGCAAAATAATGCCTTAAATACAATGCTCATGTAAGATAAATCACATGGCTTTTTTCTACCCAGGCACATGGAAAGCAAAAACGTATTATTATATCATTATTTATATGGCGCCATATGCTAAGTCTGGAACTTAAAGACTTTGAAATAAATAAGAAAACACCAGCTGCAGATCAGCAATATGCTCCTTTATTGGGAGTCACTGTGTAACTGTGGCTATCATTCCTGCTGTTAAGTTAAAACTTAAATAAATTGTCAGAGAAATAAGATAGCCATTAGAGATTCAGTGTCTGTCTCCTGGGGACGCTTCTTCTAACAGCTGTAACAAAGACCTGCTGCTGGTTTTGTCCTATCTCTGTAGTAACTCATTGCATTTGTCCCTGCAGTATCACACAGTTGTTCAGTGGAGATGGTTGAGCCGTTCACTATAAATAATGTTGGTTAACAATGCGGTCCCTTTTGGGTTAATAAATTACACTCAAACCACTCCCGAGCCTCTTTGATTGGTTTCTTGCAAGTCTGCAGTGGAGAGTTGGAAGAAATCACTTTCCACAGTCTGTTTACTTTGAATATTTCTTCTTATTTTATTGAGCTGTAAATATACATATATGATAGCCAAATCCTGAAAATGCCTATCCTAAAGTTCTGTCGCTTCATCTGCTACTTTAAAATCATAATGAGATGCACGGGGTGAAACATATTAGAAAATTAAACGGCATTGCTGAAAGGAGCAGAGGGCCTCAGTCAGCACAAGGCTGGGGAATTTGTTCCCCTCCGTTGTGCAGGAGCTGCTGTCGGGGCCCAGTCTGAGGGTGCTGGCTGCAGCAGTGAGCTCACCTGCTGCACAATCCGTGAGGCTGCGGCAGCCCGGTCAGTACCCGCGGCCATGGCCTCACGGTTCCCTGCATGCTGAGATCCCAAGACTCTCTGCCCTGTGGTTTTGCGTGGTGGCAGACAGATGTAGTTAAAGCCTTCCTGAGGTCTGGTAAGCAAAGAGTAGCTTTGTGGCATGGAGCAATGATAAAAACAACCAAAACAAACAGGCTGTGAGGAAGAGGCCTGGGGTCCTTGGTGAGACATCTCCGTGCATCATGTGCTGACTGGTGACTCTGCGTGGGTCATGTGGTTG